CAGCAAGCCTGGCTCTTCACAGCAGTCCTGGCTCCCTTCCTTCATGAGTTACAGTGGCAACATCACTGGGGAGTCACAGTTCAATTCTCCCCCTATTTTGACCAAAACCACCTTTAGTAAAGCGACTAAACAGGAAATGGTAAGTCAAAGCCCCATCACACTCAACATTAATACAGTTGACTACAACGACTAATTTCTTATGATTCCCTGTTTCTATTGCTGCTGCTCTGTTTGGTCTCTGGAGGCAATGAGTCAACACAGACACCAAATATACACTGCCTCTTACAAGTTCTTGCAAGTCTGCAACTTCCTATTGATTCTGACGAGATCAGGGGCAAGGGAGGACAGCTCAGGCTTTGTGAAAGAAAAGGCAGGCAAAGAAGAAAAGAAAGAATTCTTGTGGAAAAGAGGAGACACCAAGAGAGAGAAATGTTGTGTAAATCCTAGAGCTCCTTTGTCTTAAGTAATTACATCTAACATAAATTTAAACACTCTGTAGAAAGGCTGTTCCATTTAGTGGTGCATCAGGCAGCTGCCTTACAGCAGCCATACGTCCCCTCTTGGGTGGCAGCTGAGCCCTGCCTGTATGGTGTGCCAGCTGTGCTCAGCACAGTGCTGGGTTTCCTGGGTCTCTCTTCAACCCAGATATAAGACCCAAGAGCAGACAAGGCTGGAAAGAGAAATGGGGATAATAGGATATGACCAAGCTGAGATCACCTGTAGCAGCCAGTGGTGATCTGCCTTCCAGGATTTACTTAAATGACGCATCCAGTTCCCCACCCCATGTCAAAGCTTTGGACAAGGCTGCATTATTCCTGGGGTTGCCTTTGTTCCCATCCTCCTTCTCCATCAGGGATGGTGAGTGGCCTCCCCTCTTTTGCATATTTTTTTCCCCCATTTTCTATTCTTTCACTAACAGCCCCTGACATCCTGAATGGAGTTTACATGTCAGAAGCCTTGAATCCTATTTTTGTGGACAACTTTGAAAGGGATCCCACACTGACCTGGCAGTACTTTGGCAGTTCCACTGGATTCTTCAGGCTCTACCCAGGTAAAAATGCAGACAGGGTCTGTGTCATGGAAGAGCCCAGACTGGGAAGGTTAGAAGCTGTGTGGCTCCATGAAGGGCAGAGGATGTAGTGAGCAAAATACTCAGTGCATGGGCTCCTGCTGCTTAGGCTGAAGGAAAAATGTCCTGCAGCAGGCATAAATCCCTTTCTTCCATGTGGACTAGTCCCTCAGGCACCTTGTTCTTGCAATCCCTGTGGAGTTTGCTTTCAGGGGTGTGTCTCAGGCAGGCTGCCCTCCAAAAAGCTCACAAAACACCACGGCAGGACCTGTAGATCTCTCAGGTGTTGTGCAGAGGCTACAGGAGGGCTCCGTGCCTCGCGCGTCCCTGGGGGTTTTAGTGGTGGCCACGGCCTCGCTCCTTCTCTAAGGCCACACGTGGCAGACGCAGCTGGTCACTCTCACTTGTTATCCACTTGCCAGCTGTGAGTGGCATGTGAGGTCACAGCACAAGAGGGAGGCCCCGTGCTTGGAGAAACCCACGAGATCCTCCACAGCTGTAGCTTGGCCTGGTGGCCCCTTCATCAGATGTCTGCATGCCCTTGTTCTCTGACCTGTCACGTGTCGTGGAAGGGAAAGCAGAGATGACTGTGAACAGAGCCTTTAGCAGGAAATGTGGGACACGTCCCTGTCGCTGCTGCTGCTTTTTTATGCTCTCAACCACCCCTGGGGAGAAAAAGATGTTGAGAACTACAGAAAGTGGCAGAAAGTTTAGAGAAAGCACAATTGCTCCCCCAATTTGAAGAGGCTATGTTTCGGTACTTTTTTAAATAGCAATGTATTAACCAGTTTACTGAGAACTGCTGAGGACCACGCAGCTCTCCTTGTATTTCTGCAGAATGGCCACTGCTATTGCTGGCCAAACTTGTGTACCCAGGGTGGCTGGGCCTCAGCAGTGAACAGCAGAAGTGTGGGTGCCTGGGGAGCAGGGACCAGATGCCTACCTTTCTGTTGATTGCTCCTTCTGCTGCTCCCTTCAGGAATAAAATGGTTACCAGATGAGAATGGAGTCATCTCCTTCGACTGCAGGAATCGTGGCTGGTAAGAGTTTTGGAGGGACTTGGCCAAAGCCACCTCTCTGTCTTCCCTTCTGGCTCTTTTCCAAGGTGACACCTCGATGAGCTGCTGATCAGCAGTTCCTGCCCCACGCTGTTCCTGTGAGAGCTGGGGGTACATAAATGAAGCCAATAGCAGGTTAGGAAGCCTTATTACCTGCCGGTGTCAGCTTTCTACACGGCATCTAACACATGCCACATGGAAATCACCACCAGCGTATCCTCCATCTGTCCCACCCTCCTTATAATTCTGTGATCAGAGGGATGGGTCATTCAGACTCCAGAATTGTGGGACATTTACTTGGTCTACTCAGCATGGTTGAAGGAGGCTTTAGCAGTCATCGCTCTCAGTTGAGTCTGGACATAGTTGTGCAGCAGGCCTGGCACTTGCTAGCGTAGGAAGTGAGATGTTTGGGCTGGTGGGAGAGGCAGGTTGAGAGGAAGTGACCCATCCAATGCCCACCTGACCTGCTGTGTGGTGGCATGCGTTATGCTGCAGCAGCATCACATGACAGCAGCATTCCCAACATTCACTTCCTTGTCTTCTTTTTATAAAGGTACATCCAAGCAGCCACCTCTCCCAAGGACATTGTCATCATTGTGGATGTCAGCGGGAGCATGAAGGGCCTGCGGATGACCATTGCCAAGCACACCATCACCACCATTTTAGATACTCTAGGAGAAAATGACTTTGTCAATATCATTGCTGTAAGTATGTCCCATTTCCAGTGCTGAGCTGTCTTCCTTGTACCTCATACCAGCTTTTTAGTTCCCTTAGTGAGCTACAGGCATTTCAGTGGCCTAACTACAAAACTTAGTTCCTTTATTGGATGGGGGATTAAAGCCAATTACCCTTGGGAAGCCAGCTTTGTGTGGTCAGCAGAGTGGCTGCTAAGTCATCTCATCCTCCTTTATGAAGAGTGTCAGCTGCATCTTTTTGCTTACTTAGGGATGTGACAGCAACAGATAAAGTGCTGCAGAGAGACACCTGAGCTGACAGGGACCTGAGCTAATAAATTCACCTAATATAGCATAATATTGTGTCTGGGTCCTGTACCAGGATAATCCTTAGGATAATGTTTCCAGACTAGAAAATTACCACCATATGCCCTTTTGCGTACCAGCATCCTTCAAGGCTGCTACCCAGTTCAGAGTTCATCTGCACAGGCCTGCATGGAGTTTGTTCAGGTTGTCTCAAGTATTATCCTCTCCCCTGTTAAGCCCTGACTAGGATGAGGATAGGCCAGTTACATACAAAGAACCAGTACCACTGACCACAGAAAGCAAAACTTTTCTATGATCCATGCCAAAACTGGGTCATTTGATGCCTGGCTAAAGGCAAATGGCTCCTCACCTCCACCAGGCTCCTTTCTATAAAAATTTGCCAGGACATGGTCTTTGAGATATAAAATTCACTTTTTGTTGATCACTTCTTATTGTTTAAGATAGTTAGAAACTCCAGTTGTGACATCTCTGCCTTTATATGGCTGGATAGATGGAAGAGTGAATGGTATTGGCAGAAAAATGGAAGGAGGTCATTAAGGAGTTTGAAATATCATCTGTTCCTCAAAAACAATCCCAGAAATAGCATATAATATACAATCATTTACTGTACTCACACCAAGAGCCTACTGACTAAGACATGTTATAGGCTGACCTAAGCTCCTATTGATCATCTGAGCATCAGTGGCCTCTGAAATGCTGGGGTTTGAAGCCCGAGCCCCCAAATTAAGGTTGACATATGGGTGATTCCCACAGCCCTTCATAAAGAGGTGGTGAGTTTGCCTTATAGCTTCCCCCCAGGGTGCAGCTGGCCCTGCAGGGAGAGCCATAAGGGAAATGAGCCCCAGGGGTCCCGCACTGAGTTGACAAAGGTCAGGTGTCTGCCTGGGGATAAAAGCTGGGACCACTTGCAGGGAGTCAGGAGTGTCTGTCTGTGGAGTGCCCTCCACAGAGCTTCCTGGTTCAGGGCAGCCCTCCTGACTCTCCCTGGAGCTGGGCCCTGGGCTGTTTAGACCTTTGCAAACGTGGGCTCATCGGGTGAGAGTCGCCATGTGGGCACCTTTCTCTTATGTGTTCAGCTTGCTGGTCTGGCTGTTTCCTATGCCAACTGTGGGAAACCTCGGGTCTCTGTTTGTACCACCTGTTGTGGGCCGAGTCGTGTTGTTTGTGGGATCGTTGGGGGTGGCATCGATTATGTACCAGCTGATTGATCTGTTTGTACCCCCAGCGATCATTCATGCAATGTCTTTCTTGTCTACAATACAGTCTGTGTATTGGTTCATCTTTCTGCTGGTGCTATCATTTTTGTTGGGCCTGGTCATTGGCAAAACGGCCTCTTAGCCATGCTCTTCTGAACTCTGCAGGAAAAGGTTTACACTGGCACCTTTTACCTCATGTGTATCAGGTTAGAAGAATACACCCACTAATTATCACAGCTTGGTGGATGTGTGGTAATTTGACATGTCATCGTCATTCAGCCATCCACTGGAGGCACTAGACGTTAGGCTACAAAGCCACTTGCAAGGTTCAGCTGGTGGCTGGGGACTCAAAATCTCCAGAGGTCAAACACATGTGCAAATAGGTGCTAGAAGCAAGGCCAGGGGCACAAGCTAATAGAGTGTGGGGAAAATTTCTGGGGGGGGGGGAAGTAACTTTGTATGTGTAGATATACCTAGATAGAACTCATGAAAACAACATAATTAATGCTTTATTGAAAAAAACGTGAGATTTATCAGAAGTATAATTTGTCATGATCGCTACAAACAATTCTTAAGGAGATTATGTATAAAATGGCATAATGCTGCGTACGGTTTTCTGAACATCCACCTCGGGTAAGAACCCATTTTGTGAATTTTCTCCCATTAACAACCCCTTCCTTCTAATTTTCTCTTTGCAGTACAATGATTATGTTCATTTTATAGAACCCTGTTTTAAGGGTATCCTGGTCCAAGCAGACAGAGATAACAGAGAGGTGAGTACTAAGCTCCTATCAGTGTTATTCAGGTAGGTTTCTCCATTGAAGAAGTACACGGGGCTTAGATGCTGTGATGTGAAACTCTGGGAACTAGAAACAACCACCTCCCAGAACAGTGTGGGTTTGCATTTCAGAACTAAGCACTCTAACATAGTCAGCTGGATGGCTAAACAGCAGCAACCAGCTTCCCAGGGTCACAGCAGACTGCATCACCACTGCCAGAGGGTGAGTAGATCTGGCCCTGGCTTCTATGGAGAAACAGCACACAGAGGGCAAAGGTTCTCCGTCTTTGGAACTCCATATCCTCAGCCCTCAGGAAAGAGAAAAATCAGCTCCTTCCTCATGCATGCATTCTCAGCCTGGCCTGATACTTTGCCAGTGTGGACTGCCAGCAAGCTTTCTTTAAGGGTTTTCCTGTTCTGATCCAGCAGGGCCCAGCAGCCCTGAGATGTTCAGCCTGCATCCAGCTGCTCCACTGCCCTATGTGCTGACTTGTATTTTTAACTCGTCTTACTGTTTGCTTTTCTTCCTTTTTCTCTCTAAATTAATATCACAGAGGTAGCACATCCCTCCATGTCTTCAACAATCAGATTTCTCTCCAAATTTCTTTCCTAGCTTAGCCCGGGGTCACAGAGTGTGACTCCACAGGGTGATGTCTCCTGCAGTGTTTCCCAAAAGATCCCCAAGCCTTTTGGACACTGTCTTGTGGAAAGCACTCTCTGAGGGTTTCATTTACAATCAGACCACTGCCTCTTTAGTAGGCAAGTGTGGGGTTGTTTTTTCTTTTCTTTTTTGCGATTCTGTTTCTTTGAATGCACAGAAATGTGTTTTTCTTGAAGGAGTGGAAAAGGGAAAGTCCAATTTCTAATAGTTCTGTCCTTTGCATGATGTTTCATGGACTGCAAAATAGTTCATAGTCCACAGGATGAGAAATGCAGTCCTGTGTAGCTGCATGGGTAAAGATGCAACACAATGACACCGTTAAGGGTGCAGCCACTTGACTTTTCCACCTCCATCCATCATCGTGCTGCACTGCCCTGTCAGCAGTGGTGAAGGATCAGAAGCCCAGTGGCACAGACTTTTCCAGGTTACCCTTTCTTCTCCTAGTCAAAGGGAACACCCTGCCCACTTTTCACTGCTGCCTTTTCCCTCTCTTGCCAGCACTTCAAGCAGCTGGTGGATGAACTGCAGGCAAAAGGAGTGGGGACTGTGAACAAGGCTTTGACAGAGTCCTTCAAAATCCTGAGGGAGGTAAGACAGTCAGTGATGATGCTTGTTGGGCACAAGTGTCTCTGCCCACCTCTACTTTATCCCTGCACCTAATGACTCGGCACATTCCTCATGGTGCTGCAGCTGGGAAGTGCTATGAGCTAATGCCATGGGGCCCAAATTACTAACAAGCATTGTGCTGGGGTGATCCGGCTTTGTGGAGGTGTCAGTTTATGTGGTGCCCCGGGGCTGCTGATCCCTGCCCAGGAAGGATCAGGAGCCAGCAATACTCTGTCCTCGTGAGTGTTTCCTCAATTAGCTCCATGCCTGGGCATTGCCCTGACACCTTGGTTAGAGACGGTGGCAACAAAGTATAACTGGTCAGCTGAAGGCAAGGGTTCTGGTGGTAACTGATATTACTAGTGAGCTTTGGTAAGCAGATGATGATAACTTGAAAGATTATTCTCAGATTTATTTCGATGTCACTGCTGAATATCACTGCTTGGGGAAGAAAATCACAGGTACAGAATTAATCCGTCAGTCTAATCATGTCCTGTGATAAGAATCATGAATGATTCATTGCTTTCTGCCAACAATTGGGACTTCAGTAGCCTGGAGGTAAATGTATGACTTAACTCTGTTTCTTAAGGAATGTTAATTTAAAAAACAAACTACCGAAATCCAGCTGAACACCTCCCACCTCCTCATGGCACTGTCTATAATGGTGTTGGCCTAAAGATGTCAATGCCTTCAGTGCTGACAAAAGTATGTACATGATAGAGGGCTAGTGGTCATAATGATGATGTTGATGTTAATGTGCTAGAGATATTGACACCCCAGGAAGGATACTCCACTCTTATTTTACAAACTGAAAGTTTTAAGTTTGTTGGCTATGGTAATGCTGTTCCTAATTTATGCCAGTGCAAGCATGACCAGAGTTGAACTCCGGTATGGTTGTAGTTGAGCTGATTTGTCAGTGGTAATAGAAGCATAATGGTTTTAATGGCCACCTGAGAAGAGTCTCATCTAGCCTTGGCACTGCAGTAATAGGCTGGCAGCACTCCTAGTAGTAATGGTTCAACATCTTTGGAGGAAGATAGATAGTTACTGAGATGACCAGGGAAGCAGTAATGATATAACCCTGGAACAATTACATGGATTAGATACCTGCTGGATTTATCTACATATATTCTTGCATTTTATGGGAAAAAAAAAATCTTTAAAACCAAAGATCCAGAGCCTATATAGGCCTATGTTTCATAAATCAGAATTTAAACACTTCTTCCACTGAAGGACAAAACATTTTTTAATATATAATGTAGTACTGGTTATGTACAGTGACAACAAATTAAAGAAGCCCAATGCAGTACAACTGCAGACTCTCTCAGCCAGCACAGCTTTGAAGGTCTCGTTGAAGAACAATGGAGCATACCCCAAAAGAAAGCCTGCTTCTCCCAGCTGAAATAGCAGCTGATAGTTCCAGGCACAAACATCAAAACTGGTCTGGTTCCATTAAGGAGGGGACCTCGCAGTTCCTTTCTGGCAGGCATGGCTCACCCACTAGATTAGGCAATCCTCAAGCCTCCAGGAGGAAGGACCTTTATAAAACCCTGCATACTTTGAGCCAGGCGTGCCCATGGGAAATAGAAGGTACATGGTGGAATAGCTGAGATGGAAAAAAACCCTGTCCTCCACTGACACAGCTGAATCAAAAATACCTTGAGAGAGGGAGAGTGATGTCCATGCAGCCCAGTGGACTAACGTAACTTCACTGCAGTAATAGAGAAGAAATTCTGGCAGGTAGAGAAAATATTTTTCCTCTCTCTTTGGCATCAAACATGCAGTCAGTGGGTTAGTCACCGCTTACCTCGGTACTTGTTGATTCTCCCTTGACTAACGAGCTCAAAACAGCTCCGACATTGCTCTTAGACCATACAGCACCTAGTGACATTAAAACTTGATGTTATTCACTTGCAAGGTGAGATGCTGCATCCCTCATGCCTTTTGTTATCACCTCACATCTGCAGAAAAGGCAAAAAAACTGAGACTCTTTCCTTTGAGCATCTGCAGATGAGGAAAGATGGCAGTTGTCTCAGTGACTGCTGGTGTCACATTTCTTTCCATCTTGGAATCTACCCATCAAACAGGAATTCAGAAACAGTAACTTTGTCATCAAAGGTGTGAGTCAGGGCTAGGTATCTCTTCAACTCAGCTTTCCTTTTCCAGTAACACTGGTCACAGCTCTCTTGCAGTGTCATTCACTGTAGCATGGACCACGATTGCCTCCTCTTTAGCAAAATGGGATCAGTCCAAGGTCACTGAAGCCATCAGCTGGGAGCCCTGTTGGGGCTGTGGGATTGCAGCTTCCACCCAGAATTTGTCTGCTTGGTGATGTTCAGAAGTGACAGAAATTGTCTCAGAGTACCCACAGCAATGCTAGGGGCTGCACACGCATAGGCATACAAGTGTAGAAACCCATCTTTCGTCCTGCAGCAGCCTTCCCTGAAATGTAGCTTCCCTGGTAAGGGCCTATCTAAGGAGTGTCTTGATATCACCAGCTGGAGGGCCTCAGGCTCTGCAAGTACCACAGCTTAAGGCAAAAGAGTACCACCTGCCAAGTGCTCATATGTTTTAAGGGCTCTCTGAAATCTTAGAGCTTTTTACCTCTTTATCAGTAATAGCGAAGGAAAAGGGTTTCCATCAGTGTGCCCTGGAACAAATCTGTGCTGCTGCAGTCAGGCAGGAAGAAGGGGAACTCTGGTGGGATTGGCCACCCCACTCCTGCCAGACAAAATTCACATTCTCAGCTTGTGATCATAGCCGTTCCTCACAGACCGTCCTGTTATTGTTCACAGGAGCATACGCAAGAGATTGAAAAGGAAAATTGCCACATCACACTGATGAAACAGGCTTTGCTGATTACAATAGACAACCAGTAATAATATCTGTAATGAAAGTGACTGCAAAATTTCCCTGGTAATTTTCCTCAGTCCAATTGCTTGTAGAATTAATAGCCCAGCAAAGAACTACTCAGTAAGGCAGGAGAAGCAGGGAGTGGTTGAAGAAGAGAATGATCTCTCACAGTCCTCGTTTTCCTCCATTATGTTCCGAGGTAGATGGGGCATATTTTAGTCTGTGATGCAATTTGAGGAACAGCTTCAGGAGAAAGGTTAGCCAGAGCCTCCCCTGCCCCTCTCTGCCATGCTTAATAAACCACTTACACTCTCTATTTCAATTTAGCCACACACCAATTGGTTTCAATAAAGTATGCATCCCTTGGAAACCATGGGTTTAAGCATGTATTTATAAAGTGCTTCAAAATTCTCAGGTGTCAGGTACTATCTTTTGAGCTCCTTTCTTGTTTATCAAGTCTTAGTCTCTCTCACTGTTATTTTCTCCTCTTTGTTTCAACAAGTTTGGCACGTCTTGTCCTCTCGCCCTTTTCCGGTAGGATTTATAACCCTTTGTCTGGCCACTGCTTTGCTCATGGCTGCTTCCAGGCTGCCTGCCTTCCCTGGAACACCATCCTCCCAACAGAGTGTAAGTGCTGCAGCTGAGAGCTATCAAGTGTTAAGCAGAGCAGAATAATTACCTTTCTTGTTTTACACACCATGGTCCTCTTAACACAACCTAAGACAACAGCTACAATTCTTCAGACACTGTCACATTGCTAATTCCCACCCAGCTGACCTGCCTCTGCAGTATTCCTCTCCAGCCAGTATTCAGCCTCCTGTTCAGTATTGGATCCTCGGACTACCCGTTCCGATGTACATTAATTGTACAGATATTTATTTTTATAAACATGCTACATGTGTATACATACATATATACATGCGTGGACACCCTTAATCCTAGGTCTCACATATACATAATCTCATGTATGTGTTATATATCAGTCTTTTAGGATTAGACAGTACTAAATCTGCAACTCACGGGTCCTCCTCTCTCAGATCTGCTCAGACTAAGTATTTTGAAAGCTGATATTTTTCTGACCCTGTGGAGGAAAAGAAACTTCAAGTTCTTCTCTGAGGCCATGTTGGAATGACATCTCCTCTTAACACCGAGGTGGTTTAATGGTGCCTTGACTCACTGCTGAACTCGGAAATTACACAAATTTTGAGGTTAATTACAAGTAGGTTACTCCAAAATGGACATAGGTGAAAAAAACAGTGAAACTGGCAACAAACTGGATTTCAGTGAGGCATAAAATTCTGTGTAACTTGAGCAAACTGGTGCCATAAAAAGAATGAACCTATCTGCTGATGTGAGTAATGAAATGAGCTTGTGGCCTCTTATGCCTTACCTGTGTGGGGAAGCCGTTCATTTGCCTAGTCACAAGAGGACTGTTACGAATTTTTTCTAGCAAATGTGCAAGATGTTTAAGGACAATTTATACATCTAGTTTCTTCCTCTCTTGTAACACATTTCCTGTTGATTCCATCTTTGTCCTTTGGTATCGCATACAGTCCCAGTCAGGTCTCAGCCCACGACAAAAGTAGTTTAGCAACACCTGCAATTCTTTCCTGCTATATTAAAATGCTTTCAGTTAACTTTTTCTTTAAACCTACAGCCTTTTGACAGTGCCTGTAATTCCTTAATTATTTTCTTTATTTCTTTTCACTTCCGTGTGCCCAGCCGTGGGAATTAATTATAATATTGTCCTTTTGATGGTTAAGTATAAAAGCCTGAACATTTGCCTCTGTTTTTTATCATCTGGCAACATATTCTTTTTATTCCGTTCCTTCTTCTCTGAACATTTTAAATCTTTTCTTGTTTCCATTCATATTTTTATGGACCTGGATTCTGGATTCTGCAGCATATTTTTCAGGATACACATTCTCAGGATTTCCTGTTCACCAGTTTTTGCCTTTTTGCTTAATGCCATCTCTTGTTTCTTCACTGTCTTTGTTTCCTCCTCTACTGCTAATTTTCTAGGTATAAGACACTTTCCACTAAGTTTGAATATTCAATATTTCTGGCAGCCAATCTGGAGGAAAGTCCTACATGTGAATGGGGCAGCAGGAGACAGAGAGGGGCTGCTCAGTCGTCTGGCCAGACGTGTATGCTGATTAGCAGCATGCGTGCCTGGACATCGCTGAGTTAGAACTGCAAAGTAAATGACAATGAGCAAACAAGGGAGCATAAGAGACTATGACTCTGAATTAATTAGCTCATGCCTGTTACTCTGGCAACATGACCAGAGTTATACAGGAGAATGCACAGCTCTGTAGTGCAGCTCTAGCCTGCATCTCTTCAGACATCTGCTCTGTGGACATCTTGTTCTTCACCTCCCCTTCTTTCACACTCCTGAGACTTCAGTCAGAGCAGGGAATTATGCTCAGAGCTTGTTGTGAATACTGTTCAGATCATTTGCTACAGCTGCAGCCAACCACAAAAGGACCTAAAAATCAGGGATTACCTCTTATTCATTTGTTTTCTAAATCTGTCTTTTTAATCTCTATTTCTATGACACTGATGATCTCATTTTCCCTGTTGAAAATATCATCTACTCCTGTAATTAGGAGACTGCTGGTTCTGATACAGCATCTAATTTCTCAGTATCTCAGTATTATGAGTTCTGAAGTAAGCTAAATGAAGAGATGTCTTAAGTAGTTTACTGAAATGGTGGGTGACCTTAATGAAGTGTTAATTTAACAATCATCTAAATAAAATGTTGTAGATTGCAACAGTCTGGAATAAACTGCTTTTGTAACTACAAGGTTTGCATATCTGTGATCTGAACCTCATTCTGACAGCATCTCTTGCACCATCATAACCCTTTGCCTCCCTAATGGACTCTCCCACTAGCTGTTATCTCTGCTAATCTGCATGCAGTTGGTCTGTCCCAAGAATAGCTCACCTGAGATTTCTTGTCTTTTCCCTACCTGATGGTCTACAGTAGAATCCCATATGGCTGTCAACTGCTTTTTCCCTTTCTTTTGCACCAAAGAACATTCTGTGCTTTTTCCCTACTGTGCAATATCAGTCTTTGCCCTGAGTCTATTTGCTGAGCAGGGGGTACGTGTGCTCTGACCCCCCCTGGAGCTCCAGTTACCCTATAGCTGGCACTAATGTTGGCTTGGATTATTTTGGCTTTTTTTTCCTGTGGTACAAGGTGTAGAAGCTTTTTGAACCATTGGAAATGTCAGACCTTAGGGACACTGTAGAGAAAGATGTGGGAAATCCCCACTGCTAGATTGTTGTGACCACAGCAGTGGAAGTGTCTCCCCTCTGAATGTGCTGCTCTGGTGCTATAAAGGTGGAGGAGTGTGCCCAACCACCTCATCTTGACTCAGTAATTTACACACATGTGTTTTTGCCTGAGAACAGCTAGTTAGAAATGACCCTATTACAGCACCCTTCTTTCTCAATCATCGGTACTGATTCTGATCAGTCATACAAGTAATGGGATTACCATGAAACAGTGAGAGAAGGGTTCATACACATAGTCATTCAGAAGCTGTTGAATCCATGCTTACTGCAGTAGAGATACCTCAGTGATATTAAGAGTAATGCTGAAGGAAGCAGGACTGCTAACATAAATGGTGGTGAACAGAGGCATGGTGATATTAGCACTGAAACTGGTAATTTTGTAATAAAGAACAATCATAGAGGTAATGGTAGGAGTGGTGAAATGACTGGGGAAACCTGGACCTGGCTTCCAGGTACCAATGGTCATGATGTTAACCTGCAGTGGAATCACAGTACCATCTGTGTTGGTAAAGACACAGCATTGCCAAACCAGACGGGACTTGTGAACTGAGCCCTTAAACATCTAAAAAGTTCCAGTTCACACCCTGTGCTCTTCTCCTATCCAGTGCTTCCTTTTATTTTATGTAATTAGTCTTGCCAGTTGGATACCTTTTTTCTCATTTACAAATATAACTACCCTCTCCAGTTTAAAATTGCTGCTGTTTGCTATAAGCTTAGTCACCCTTCAGTTAGCCTCCTGCATGTTCTCCATCTCATGTCATTGCCTCTCATTAATCTCTTATGCAGATTTATCCTATCTTTCTCTTACCACATTTTTTCACTCTATCAGTTTCTGTATCCTTTGTTGATTAGACTTTTCCTTGCTCAGAGCATAGAAGTGGTGAGATGCTGTGCGAGGAGAAGTGCATGCTGACACTGATCTAGGAGCTGCAGCAAAGTAGCTGCTCTTTCCTTGTGCATTGATGTTCTTTGCCACCTCCTCTGGTGACTAGTAATTCAACATATGTGTTGGTGCTGCATAAGACACTTGGTTCTCTAGAGCCACCTGAGGGCATGAGAGGCAAATGGCTCTGCACCAGGAGCACTGACAAGCAGTATTTGAAGGCTGGTCTTCCTGGCTGAGCAGGCAGGGTCTGGCTTGCCTGTAGGAGCATGCCTGTTCAACACCTCCCCAAGTGTCCTTGGGAGCACGTCAGTGTCTGTACCAGAGTCCCAGCATACTTCCACTCTACCTTAAAGATTATTTAAGCACAGATAATAGATCATCTGTCCTTACAGCAGATATGGTGCTTGTGTCCTGCATATTCATAACCCGTGTCAGCTCTGAGGGCAGTAGCCTTCTCTTTTCATATGCTCCTGCCTTTCTCTGCTCTTTTTGGCAGATTGATGGATTTATCCTGAAATGATGAGTCTGATTTCCTCCGTCTCTCACATTTTCTGCCATAAGAAGTGACAGTTATTGCTGCCAAATCAGAATTGCACTGTTTATGGTCAGCCTATAGGTGTTTTGCATAAATGAATGCAACTGTGCAAGATGTGAGGCAGCAGGGGATGGCAGCCTTCCTCCACAGCACTTATCTTTTCCTTATTTATTTCTGTAAAGCCTCCGGTGTCTAGATGCACTAGGCTGAGCTGTATAAATAAAAAAAAGTTCCTTCAGCATACAAACACAGTCCTTACTTAAGCACAGCCCTTTCTGAGCACAGTGTGAGGTTTGCATGAGGAAGTCAGAATCTGGCCCACCATGAATAAATATGCTGCAATTACACAGAAACAGCCTGTGATGAGATAACAGATATTCTTCCTCTCTGTTTACAGTTCAGAGACGCCGGCCAAGGAGGCTTGTGTAACCAAGCTATCATGCTGATCACAGATGGAGCAGTGGAGGATTACGAAGCTGTGTTTGAAAAATACAACTGGCCAGATCGGAAGGTTTGTATGGGAAGTGATAAATAGGAAGGGCAAGGAAAGGTGCTGTCCTGCTAGGGTGGGAATAGAAGAGCATGAGCCAGGTTGTTGGGCAGAGCTGAATGTTCACACTCTCCAGTACCCACGTGTATCCAGCTGTAAACACAAAACAGACAGGCAGGAGCTTGCTGGGGTGATTTTAGAGGTAGTAGGATCACAAATGGGTATCTGTAGGTTAGCGAAGATTTTTTTTTCCCCGTACACTTTGTTTTTTAAAGGTGTGGGCAATCAAGAGATTCTCTGATAAGATGATAAAGACTGAGATGAGTATTTTAAAATAAAAAAAAAATTTAAAACAATAATAATAATAAAAAAAAAATAGAAAAACCCCACACCTCTGCAAAGAATTTTAATCACATCCAGGACTTTGAAAGTCCTGTTTGGGAAAGGTTTGGCTATTACTAGTTCTTACGGTGGGCAGGGGAATGGCCCAGACAACCTTTCAGCTGCCTTCCAGACTTATTTACTTGAGGTCTGTGATTACAGGCTTGTCCTAGCAGAACATAAATATGAAAGTGGAATAGACCACAGCTCATCCTAAACCCTCCTGATTTATTTACCTTAGCCCAGCTAGCAGCAATGCACAATGGGAGAGAAGCAGCCTACTGAGAGACCAGAGCGTGGGGTTGTGAAAGCAGTTTATTTCAGGATCGGCTCTTTTGTTGTTGGTCAAACATAGAGAAAGCTTCACCATTTCTCTTAAATGATTCATGTGGCCTGCTGTTCCCCAGGGTATAGGATTCCTGTGAGCTATAAACCTCTCCGCATGTGGTTGCTGAGAGCCTGGCAGAGCTGCTATCATAAAGTCAAACAGAATTTGCACTTCTGCCTTGTTATTCATACGTTCCCGGGTGCTACTTGGCTTTCTAAGCTTATTGTAATTGGAAATTAAGTTCCAGCCCACAAAATGCAGAACAAATGGAGCAAGAGGCTCCTCTCTCTGTGTGAAGGCAGAGCCATTGCTGTGCACCACAAACAGGCATTCACACCAGCATTTAATGGGATGTCAAATCTCAGCCATCTGGGTTTAGTAATACATTACAGCCTAATTCTTCCAGCTTTTTGTTCTTGTTCCCAGGTTCGGGTTTTCACTTACCTCATTGGACGGGAGGTCACTTTTGCCCCGAACGTGAAATGGATCGCCTGCAACAATAAAGGTGCTGTATGCGAATGGTTCCCCAATCCCCATCACACATGTCACACGTGGAGTGCGGCCACAGGGCCCTGGACCCCTCTAAGGCTTATCCACTACAGCTAGGACCCATGAGCCCTTGGCTGGAAGACAACCTAAGGAAAAAAGCCTTGCTAGTCCATGTGAAGTGTGTCTGTGTCTAACACAGGTCATCCGTGCTGAGCCACCTCATTTTCCTGTCACGGTGCCAGGGGACACTACGACCGAGATTCATGCTGGCTGTGGTTCACCTAAGTCTCTGTGTTTACTGTGCCCCAGTTGTTGGCTTTTGACAATCTGTCTAAAATTCTGTCACAAAGCCTGACATCTTTTGGCCAAGATGTAAAATGAACATAATTTTTTTTTTTTTACAGGATTTTTCACAATCGCTACAGGTTAACACCTATATCCTGCCCAAATTTCTGCATGTCTCAGTGGTTTCACTGAGGTACCAGAAGAGCTTGTTAATCCCTCCCCAAAACCAATATTGTCTCTAGCTTGCATGAAATGGCATGAGTGGGAAAATCCATTCAGAGTAGATAAGTCACCTCTATGCATTTGGGGCAAGTTGAAAAGTCCTGTTATCCCTATCAGAGTCTGCAAGGGTAAAGAAAGAGAGGGGAAAAAAAAAAAAAGTCTTCCCTGTTTGGGCAGGACTTGGCCTCAGTGTGTCTGGAGACAGCAATGGTTGCTACATCAGTATTCTGCTTAAAAAAGGAAAGAAGGGAAGGCCAAAGCAGGGGGCTGACTAGCTGGGTATATTGACTCTTCCTGTCTCAGCAGTGGCTCCAGCAGGCTGTGAAATGCATGGGTGCATTTGCTCCTGAAGACAGACAGAGAAGAGACAGCCTGCAGAATGTCTGTGAGCTGGGGATGTTCAAGACTAACAAACGTTCATTTATTTACTACATCACTTAGACACACACAAGTCTACGGGGCCAGATGGTATCCACCAAAAGGTAGTGAGGGACCTGGCAGAAGTGCTCACCAAGCCACCTTCTATCATTTATCAGCAGTCCTGGCTAACTGGGGAGGGTCCAGTGGAACCTCAAGGTTAGCAAATGTGACACCCACCTACAAGAAGGGCTGGAAGGAGGATCCAGGGAACTACAGGCCTGTCAATCTGATCTCGGTGTCAGGGAAGGTTATGGAGCAGACCATCCTGAGTGCCTTCACAAGGCACATACAGGACAACCAGACAATCAAGTCCAGTCAGCATGCATTTATGAAAGACAGGTCATGCTTGACTAACCTGATCATCTATGACAATGTGACCCACTTAGTGGCTGAGGGAAAGGCTGTGGATGTTGTTTATCTGGACTTTTGTAAAACCTTTGACACCGTTTCCTACAGCATCCTCCTGGAGAAACTGGCTGCTCATGGCTTGCATGGGCATAAACTTCGCTGGATAAAAAAACGTCTGGAAGGTCAGGCCCAGGTAGTGGTGGTGACTGGAGTTAAATTCAGTTGGCGTCTGGTCGCAAGTGCTGTTCCCCAGGGCTCAGTATTGGTTCCTGTTCTGTTGAGTATCTTTATCAAAGATCTGGAGGGGTGGGATTGAGGGCACCCTCAACATGTTTGCAGATGACCCCAAGTGGGTGTGTTGATTTGCTTGAAGGTAGGGATGCCCTACAGGGGGATCTGGACAGGCTGGATCAATAGCCAAAGCCAATAGTATGAGATTCAACAAGGCCAAGTGCCATGTCCTGCACTTGGGTTACAACAGCCCCAGGCAACACCACAGGCTTGGGGAAGAGCGCCTGGAAAGCGGTCTGGCAGAAAAGAGCGTCTGGAAAGCTGTCTGGCAGAAAAGGACCAGGAGGTGTTGGCTGACAGTGGGCTGAACATGAGCCAGCAGTGTGCCCAGGCAGCCAAGGGCATCCTGGCTTGTATCAGAAATAGTGTGGCCAGCAGGACCAGGGAATGATTATGCCCCTGTATTCAGCACTGGCAAGGCCACACCTTGAGTACTGTGTTCAGTTTTGGGCCCCTCACTGCAAGAAGGACACTGAGCTGATGCAATGTGTCCAAAGAAGGGCAATGAAGCTGGTGAGCTTGAAGTTCTAAGAAGCTTGTCTTAGAGGACAAGTCTTATGAGGAACAGCTGAGGGAACTGGGGTTGTTCAGCCTTAAGAAAAAGGAGGCTGAGGGGAGACATTCTTACTCCCTACAACTACCTGAGAGGTCGTAGCAAGTTGATAGTCAGTCTGTTCTCGCATGTAGCAAGCAATAGGACAAGAGGAAATGGCCTCAAGTTACACCAGGGGAAGTTTGAGTTAGAAATGAGGAAAAATTTCTTCAGCCAAAGGGTTGTCAAACACTGGAACAGGCTGCCCAGGGAAGTGGTCGAGTCGCCATCTCTAAAGGTATTTAAAAAGTGTGTAGAATCATAGAATGTTTTAGGCTGGAAGGGACATCCAGAGATCACCTGATCCAACCTCCCTACACAAGCAGGGACATCTCTACCTAGGACAGGTCACCCAGGGCTCTATCAAGCCTGACCTTGAATGACTCCAGGGTTGGGGCCTCCACTACCTCTCTGGGCAGTCCATTCCATCTATTACTTTTACATAAAAGAATTTTTTTTTTTCTAATATCAAGTCTAAATCTATCCTTTCCTATTTTAAAACCATTACTCCTTGTTCTATCATTACAAACCCTTTTGGATAGTCCCTCCCCTGCCTTCATGTAGGCCCCTTCAGGTACTGAAAGGTCACTATAAGGTCCCCCTGGAGCATTTTCTTCTCCAGGCTGACAGCCGCAACTCCCTCAGCCTGTCTTCATACAATAGGTGCTCCAATCCCTTGATAATTTTGGTGGCCCTCCTCTGGACTCGGTCCAATATGTCTACATCCTTCTTGCACTGGGGGCTCCAGAACTGGATACAGTACTCCAGGTGAGGTCTCACTAGGGCAGAGTAGAGCGGCAGAATTGCCTCTCTTGATCTGGTGGCCACAGTTGTTTTGATGCAGCCCAGGATGTGATTTGCCTTCTGGGCTGTGATTGCACATTGGTAGCTCATGTCCAGTTTTTAATCCACCAGCACTCCTAAGTCCCTTTCCATAGGACTGCTCTCCAGTTAACCCTCTCCCAGCCTATGATGATAGTGCTGGTTACCGTGGGCTAGGTGCAGGACCCTGCATTTGGCCTTGTTGAACCTCATAAGGTTCATTTGGGCCCACCTCTCCAGCCTATCCCAGTCCCTCTGGATGGCATCACATCCCTCTGGCATATCAACTGTGTAGACATGGCACTTAGGGACATGGTTTAGTAGTGGACTTGGTAGTGTTAGGGTAATGGTTGGACTTAGTCATCTTGAAGGTCTCTTCCAATCAGAACAATTCTATGATTCCATGATTAGCACTATGAATCACATGTAACATTTTATTTTTTTTATAGATGAAACAAAAACCTGGATTTCAGAATATATATTCAGCAATAAACTTAGTGACAGGGAATTCATGGTGTTGTTGGTTCACCATAAAACTTTAGAACGGCTACTCCTGAATAACCACAGAACAAAAATACACTCTTTACATTTGAGTTCTCACCTGCCAGACTTGAGCTCCACAGAAGGCTCACTGATTTTGGTAGTTCTGTTTCAACACATTATATAGTTCTTGTAGTCCTTTTCAAGCACACTAAATCCATTTTTGCATCACAAAGCTTCCCAGATCATGAGCCATTTCTCACGTCTTCTCACGTTCTCACGTTCAGTGTCTTCCTAGTGACAAATAAAGTTTTCCATCTCTCTGACATACTCTGTCCTATACCAAGTACAACCATTATGTTCCATGTGGTGAGAAGCAGGACAAGGGTCCTTGTAATATTACACTCTGATAGCATTTCTAACCAGTTAATAAGCTCATTTTGAGCACTTTGATAACTTTGACAGCTCCAGAAATAGATAATTTGCACTTTTACGTTCTGCTTCCAATGGCTAGAAGGAAGTAGTCACCATCCTTGCATGTAAAGTTAGGCAGACTGAAGAGCAGAGTTCTGGAAAAAAATCTGGAAGAGAAGTTGGGATTTTGGGCTTCATATAAAATTGGGCAGGGTAAGTGGATAGCCTGATGGCATACTTTGTATGCATATGATTGGCATGCAGGACCAAAGGCAGCCTGAGTAGTAGACAGTTTTGCCTAGGACCCGAACCAACATTTTACATCTACTTAGCATGACTCTGGTTACATCAAGACTCTGGTCTAGAGCATTGGTCCAGTATTTTGAGAACAGAGACAGTACGTTTAAACTCTAGATTTCCACAGAAACCTGTGCCCACAGAAGCTTGTGGATACAAGGCACCTCAAGGCACTTTTTGTAAGGTAGATAAATCACTGGGGTAGGTACAGTCTTTGATATCTAGTTTTCTAAATTTGCATGGACAATCATTTAAATATACGGAAGATGTGTTAGCAGAGGGACTAACACTTCTGTTTCTTCATAAAGGCTACTACACTCAGATATCCACGCTGGCAGATGTCCAGGAGAATGTGATGGAGTACCTGCATGTGCTCAGCCGTCCCATGGTCATCAACCACGACCATGACATTATTTGGACTGAAGCCTACATGGACAGCGCGGTAAGGACTGACAACACGAGTCTTTGGTCAGCAAAGAGCAGGGTCTATGAGCCAAACCAGCAAAGATGTTAGGCACTCAGCTAGTATGTTAGGCATATAAATTGTTCCAGTTTCCCATCTAAATACCTTACATGTGTGAGAATCAAAACAAAGTCCTGAAACTTATGCAAAACCAGGAATTGGTTGATTGATAGAAATTACTGGTCTCTGGCTCTAAGACAGACAATATTTCTTTTCTGCTCGCCCCTGGAGTTCAGATGTATATGCAGACTCACATCTGAAAATGCAGTGACCCAGGAGCCCAGGACTAATCACACAGGCACAGCAGGACTTAAGTAGTGCTTCTGTAAAAGCAGGTTACCTTCTAAAGGATTATTCACAGGCAAGATTATTTACATCTCAGGATACGGGTCACGGAGATTTTATTTCCTCCAGCCCAGTAGCTAAATGCACACTGCTTGCCGCTCAAAGATAAAGATCTCTGTTGGAGAAGCAAGCTCATTCTTTCAGTCCTGGAGCAGTAGCAAGCCCTAAATTCACCGCAGCAGCCCTGTGCTCAGCCCTGTGGGTAAAGGGCACATCACAGAGGACCAGATAGATAGCACTCCCAACGCCCCTTGCTTTGTCTCAAGCCTACTCTACAGGAAGATGTTTGCACCAGGGGCAGGTGCTATTACCGTGTTGTGTTGCCAAGGTAGCTTTGAAATTCAAAGGAGTGAAGGGAAGGACAAATAAGTAGACCACCACTGAAGGATCCTTCCCCTGCACTTCCCCAAATAGAAGATATTCCTCAGTCTCCATCTCTATCTCTGTTTACATTGCCAAAATAGAAAGTTACAGTTCCTTTGGGACTCTCTGTGCTTTCAGGAAGATAATTGGTTTTTCCTACACTGGACTTTTCACCTCAAAGGAGTGCCTGCATAATTGGGACAGCTAGAGCTTACAAGAAGTCAGCTTACCCTCCTACAGAAACAGACCTGAAGTCTCAGGATTGTTCATGCTATCTGAGGGGAAAAATCTTCAAGGAACATTTAGAATGTTTCTGTAAACAATCCTACTGTGGGACTGAAGTTATTGGCTCCAGTCTGGCCAGCAGCAGCTTCCAGGTGTCTGTCACAGCCCTGGGGAGAACTTACAGTTTTCGGGTTTAAGATCAGAGATAAGAAACACGAATTCTCTGAGTTGGAGTAAAACTAAGGCTACCAAGCTCAGCTTTGTAGCAGGAAACATGGAGGTCCAAGTCACACATCATGGTGCTTGATGCTGTGCTCAGACTCAAGATCACATAAACCCCAAGAAATACCGAAAGCAGCCGGCTTGCACAATCATGACACAGATATTATACTTGGGAGAATTTTGTGGGAAGGAATCTTCCCCACCTCTGTGTTGTGGCAGACCATTGAGGCTGCAGCTGTGGCACACTAGCTCTGTGAAGGTGACACGGGGATGTCTTCTGCTGCAGGAGCTGTGCCAAATGAGAGCTGGGGACATGGTACTTGAGTGTGCTAAGCAAAAACTCCAGAAATGCTGCTAACTCCCAGCAAGTTTATTCTATTATCAGGCATTCCAACCCTGGCACTGGGGAATGGTATCAAACTTACCAAGGCAGCCACAGGGATTTGTTTGCTGGGCTTTCTCTGCTGCATCTCTTTTTCTGCCTTTTGCTTTGTCTTGCCATTTTCTTCCTCCACCCCAGCCTTTCCCACCTTTGATTCCTTCCTCCATCTATGTATTCATTCATCTGTTCATCCATGTTTCTCACTAGCTGCCACAGTCTGAGGAGGTAACTGCACCCCTGTGTTTTGTGAGCGTGCTGCTTCTCTTGTGCCAGTTGATGTGTCAGTGCCAGTGTTCCCAGCCACAGCTGGCTTGTACATCTGGAGGGGAGTGGGGGCTGCAGTGTTGAAGGAGCCCTCTTACCCTGGCAAAAAGAGGAGAGAAAGTGCTGGATGTACTGGAGAGCTGTGCTGTTGGTTCAGAGTAGATAGAGGTGTTTGTGTTGCGCTGTAGCTTAGTTCACCAGATCTCTTTTTCCACATGTCCACTAAGTGCCAGAGAAGTTTACTTGTCCTGTGCTGGTGTGTGTGTCAGTGGGAATAGAAAATTTCCACAAAGAATCATTCAGACCACTAACTCAAGGTATCAGGCTCCAATCTACATCAAGCAACTGTATAGATTATTGACTTTATGAATCCCAGCATGTGGAGTAATGGAGACAGAAGGTAATTTCTTGCCTTGCTGCTTACTTGACCAAAGGAGAGGTGGGAGGAGGATGCTAGTGGCATCAAGACACTAGGTCCTTTCTCTAGCTAGGCACGTTTGGGAGACTGTTTTGCATGTGTCTTGCCTGTTTTAACTCCCTTCATGTGTGTTTTTAGAGCATCTGTCTCCTGCAGAACTGGGAATATCTGTTACCTCATTACACATGCATGTCCTGTAACCCCTGTAAAGAGAGCTCACCATGTTATATCTGTTTCAATCATGATTTTGTCTCTGTTTTTCCTAGAGCTTAGATGCTTGAGTAACAAGCATATATAAGCAGGGTCTGTGTGTATTTGTGCCTTTAAATATTTGCCTGTGGTGTTTCTCGTTTGTGGTATCCATATGTTTGCGACATAGATGCTATCTTGTTTGTGATTTTGCTCATATTTCTGTTGCTTTGTTCTGTTCTCCTTGTGTTGGTGATGTTTACACTTGTTGCATAAGTGCCCATTTCTACACTCCCAGTGCATGGTGGGTATAAACTGGGCCACCACTTCTACAGATTCTTGTATTTTCATTGAAACAGCTCTGTAATTTCTCCTCCTTCAACACATTTCACTGGCTTTCATCCCATCCTCATCACTCCACACAAGCAAGCATCCATCCCACAATCCTTTTGGATACAGAGTATTGAAAAGTGCTGCCATCTCTTTTTAGAGGGGTGTGGGAGGCAAGGAGGTGGCTAATTGTAATCAACATCTGGGGTCCTTGGGAATTCCAGTGCCTTTTGGTCAGGTTATCCGTGATATTGCATGTGCTAACATACGGCTCATTGTTCTGTGGCAGCTCTTTGCATCTCAGGCTCAAAGTCTGTTGCTCATGACAACAGTGGCTATGCCAGTCTTCAGCAAAAAGAACGAGACGGTGAGTGCAAGGTGGGCTACGCTTTCCTCCCAGGCAGCAGAGGTGAAAGGACACGGCTGATCTTTGCAAAGTTTTAAAGCCAGTGGGTCTCTGAAAGAAAAGCTGGCCATTAGGGACTGCAGTAGACCTCTGGCAGGATGTGAGGCTGATAATTTATCTGACAAAATGATAGTCTGTCATTTCCTTTGAATGCTATTTCTTCAAAATATCCCTTAAATATGACACCTCTCTGGTTTATCCCTTCCATTTTGAAACCAAGCCTAATTCACAGACCCATAAAGTTCAGGCTGGAGGAGATCATTACCTTGTCTAGTCTGTGCATTTTATTACAGACCTTTACATTTCTTATAGATGATCCTTCATGAGCTCAATAACCTGTGTTGGGCAAAAGTGTCACTGAAGAAAAGCTTCCATACTCAAGCTTTCCATTTTGGCTTCTCATTTTGTGTTAAAAACTGGTGTCTAAATTCAACTTCCAATTTCTCTGGCCTCACCTTCCTGTCATACTGGCTTTCTCTGCTAGATTAAAAAGCCTGTACCCTTTGCTGTCTTCTCCTGGGCATCATCATCTTCACTGCAGTAGAGTCAAACTTCTCTGTCTTTTGATAAGATAAAAAGATTGAATAATTCCGATGTCTTTGATAAGGGCACTTCCTCTGGGTTTTGAAACCCTTTAGATGCTCTTTTCTGTACCCTTTCTCATTTCTCAGCATCCTTTTAAAATGGTGGATGGTATTTCACCATTGCTGTGCAAGGGATAAATTCTTCATCCAGGTTCTAAAAACAATTGTCTGCCTTTTCCACCTGAGGATGGCCATAACCTGTATTAGCACAGCACTGCAGTGGGAGCCCGTGTGTCATTTTTGCATGCAGCCCAGGTGGTTATTAAACAACCAGTTCCTCATTTCATGGGCATTTCCTGGGCATGCCCATTACTTTTTTCTCGGTTTACAGTTTTGTGTTTGATGTCTGGTTTAGTTGGTCCAAGTTTTCAACTGACCCATGCTGTGTTGCATGATCACCTTGCCCTTGCAGTTACTTATACATGCTGGAAGTAGGCTTTTGCTCTCAAAATGTGTTGTCATGATTTTATGTTACTTCTGAATCATAGCCAGAAATTCTGCCTGACATTGGGCAGAAATGCTCCTCTCCATAAACATGTGTGTGAGACTTTTTGAGATACGTTCATTGGTTTTAAATGAGTATACTCATACAAGCCTACAGAAAACACGTAAGAGACTAGTAGGAAGGCAATAATGTGGTATTCAGGTAGAGATCTACCAAAGTTTTGCTTCTGAAAATGGATTGTTCTTTGTTTTTAAGCGTTCTCATGGCATTCTGCTGGGTGTGGTGGGCTCTGATGTGCCACTGAGGGAGCTGTTAAAACTTGCTCCACGGTATAAGGTAAGACTGAGATAATGTAATTTGTTCTTTTGCACAGCAAAGTCACTAGTCATTCTTCCATGGGCATGACTGAAAAAGCATTCCTCTGCCTGTAGGAAGAACTATGGGTGTAAAGCAAGAGATATTGGATGTGGTGATGTGTGATTTCTATATAGCACATAAGAAATCATTCATTACTAGAAGCTCTTAGGTTGCTTCAGAAACACAAGGACTGGATGATCCAGTAGATTGTCAACAGGTCATGGACCCTTTGCATCTTGATGGTCACCAGCCTAGACCCCTGAGAGATGATACAATCTGACAGCCTATCTCAGAAGAATTAAAATTGTATATCCAGTTCTCAGTGGACAAAATCTGCCATGCCAGCTTGGGGGGGGGAATATTTTTTTTTAGCAGAAAAACTGAGATCTGAATGGGGTACAGAGGGCCAACTTTTCTGTCATGCCTAGAGACTCCTTTCTCCAGATCAGCATGAAGATTTCTTGTCAGGACAGTGTACAGGAAGTTGGCTCTCACATGTTCATGCTGTACCTAGATAGAGTATTTGCTCTCCAGAATTGTTAGCCCAACAACTTTCTGCTAGATCTATGTTCTATATATCAAAAAAAATATTTTCATCCATAGGAAAACCCCTCCAGAGATGCACTGTTTAGTTTGTTTTCTGCTGTAAATTCTGTGCAGCAACCTTCTGTTCAATCATTCTGCACACCAGGAGGCAGCAAGCACATCTGAGGATCACCGTGAAATCAGGCAATTTGAGCCATCATTTCAAATTTCCAGTTTCTCTTAAATAACTATCAGACAACTACTACCAGTTAGGCAGTTGTCCAAAACCTGACTGCTGAAGACTCACAGGACTGAAAGTGCTGTCAGAAGCTATGAATTTCTGTGGCACTTCCAGATATGGATGCAGGGCAGACCATTTACATGCAGCTGTAGGAAATGATCCTTTAGGCAACCCAGGAACTATGAATGTTGGAGTGCATGCACTCAGCTAACTGGTTTGGGTCTGGGGGAACCTTGTCTAGGAGCTTCACTTTTTATACACGTTTATTTTCTCTATGAGACTACTACTTTTTCAACTTCCCCCCACCCCATGGCACTCAAAGGCCATGTGTCACAAGAATCTATTTCTTCTTGGCCAGGCAGGGACACTCTTCATTCCTCCAACTTGTGTCAGCAAAGGAAGGAAAATTATCTGAAGGATTTCTATGCATCAGAGGCAGGACACAACTTCCCAGAAGCTCCTCCAATGCCAGACCAGTTTGGAAATCTAGGATTCCACTGGAATCCCCTGGCATAAGGGTTACAAAGGACCGGTTCCAGAGTTACAACCCTTGAGAGGTTGTAGATTTCTGATTATGCTCACTGGGCTGGGAAACTTCAGCTTTAATAGGCCAACAAGGAAGTTGGCTGTGGTCTTGATCCAATGTCTTGGTTTCATTTTTGCCACGCTGAGCTGAGTGTGCTTTGCAAAAAAAAAAAAAAAAACAAAACAAAACTTTCATATAGAGAGAGTCTCAAGTTTTGATCTGGGATGTGTGAAATATAGAATTCATTCCCTCGAAAAAGGCACAGACAGATTGTAAATTATTTGTCTTCCCATTTCACTACTGTTATCTCTCCAGGATTGTGTCCATAGAAATATAAAGTTGCAACATTTTTTTTGAAGATAGAAACCTTAGCCACTCTTGTGTTCCTTGAGATGCTTCTTGTTTTGGCAAGCGCAGGCTATCATCAGGTTTTTAGTAACTCGGGGTTTAGCTGGAATTTATATTACATCTGAGTTATTGCCCCCTCAGAAATCTCTTGCAGATTCATGTCAGCCAGTGTCTGCTCTTGTTAGATTATACTATTCGCTAAAGAGCATTTTAAGAATACAGGCTTGTAAAATTGGCCCAGGCTAAAGTTGGTTTTGCCAACACTGAAACACAATTCAGACCCTCTCTGAAGACCAACTGGGTTTCCAGGGAAGCCGTCTCTGAGATTCATATTCGCTTCTTCATTCACTGCTGTGCATACACAGTGTCAACTGTTTACAGCATTCCTCACCCTCGCCCATTTTACATGCAGCGCTGCTGTGGAGAGTTTATTCTGCCTCTGGGTGGTAATTGTCCACAGTCAACCAGATTCTAGAAGGGCATCTGTTTCTCAATGTGTACACAAACCAACTACCTGCCCTTTCTTTTGTGCATCCAAGCATTGTCAGCTTGGCCAGAGATCCAGAGATAAATGGTTTGGGATGGACCCTGTTTTCTACTGGTCAATACCTTCCAAAGGAAGGTATTTCTGAATATTGATGGTGCCAGGGTATCAGTGGCACCCATTATGCAGCAGTGTTTATAGCTAAAGCACTGATCATTCTAATGTCTTTTTCTTCAGCTGGGTGTCCATGGATATGCCTTCCTGAACACCAACAACGGCTACATCCTTTCACATCCAGACCTCCGTCCTTTGGTATGTGTTGCTGTGAATTTGAGAAACTTTGCTTACTTGGAAACAGTGGCTTTTATGGAGGCTCCTGATTTCTCATACTTTATTGAGCTGTGAATGCTACCTGGCTCTGACATATAGGCACCCAGGAGCATGAGAGCCAGAGAAATCAACTCAACATATGTAGATGTATGCACCAACATGTGTATGAAGTGTAAGGCACCCTACCCTGCCTGTCTGTTCTCCATAAGAGTGCCTGTGAAGGCTGTGTTTATGTGCTTTTGTTGTACTGTGGGTGCATGTGTCTCTGTGTCCATGCAAGCTTTCACTGCTGGGACGAAGAAACAGTTCCCCTCACTCAAGCATATCTCCTACAAACAGATTCAGCATGATTAGTACCCCAGTAATGTCTACCCAGCAGCTGTAGTGATGGACATTGGGGGAATATGAAGGTACTAGGGTCCAGTACCACAAATCTTAGTAACATGGTAAATCAGAGACGATTTAGAGACCATCAGACTGCAAAGACCTTCTGGGGCTTGAGGGTGTCAAGGACAATGCTTAGAGCTCTAGAGCACACATCTGCCTGCAAACACACAGCTGTCCTTGCCACTCAGATCCCCAAGCATGCAATGATTTTTCATTTCACACACAGGCTTGTCGTCACAAATCCACCTCCACACTGCTGTAAGCATTGGTGTGGTCACTGGCAAAAGAAAGTGCCACCACAGAGCTTCACAGCAGCTGTCTTCAAAAAAGGCAGCTTTGCACAGGGAGACCACAGGCAGGGGTAGTTACTTCAGTATGTGAAGAGAAGGGACACATCATGTTTCTAGGGTGGGGCAAGGCAAAGCTAGATAAGGGCACTGCTTTGTCCACCACCTGAAATTAGCATCTCTTAGTCTGCTTCACACATTTTCCTTCATCTGGAAGATTACAGGGAAACAGCTCTCTTGCATCAATTAGCCCTAGGTGAAAAGCCTACCTTTCTGTCAGTGGAGCCAAAGCCTAATTCCCATCAGAAAAGATCTGCTGGCATTATAGTGTTAATGAGATTACACTCTTAGCTGTGGGGGAAAAAAAAAAAAAAAAACAAACTTATTTCCTGGGGGCATGTATACTGTACTGATCTATTTAGAAGAATACTCTCACAAAGGAGGTCATAGCCCTCACCTGCAAGTTTATCTCTGTTCCTGCCTGTCCCTTGCTCCTGGATTAACCTCTGCCACTTGAACTCTCCTAGCCCCACACTGCCTGCATAAAGAAATACATGGTCATGGGATCAAGAAGGCACTTGTACTCAAATGCTGCCTTCCTAGTCAGAGAATAAATGAGACACCCCTATTTTTCAAATTACATATCAGTTCTTAAAGGGTTAGTTTAGGAAGTTACCTAGGCACTTACTTGAGTATTTTACTTTTTTTTTAACAACCATCAGTACAAAGAAGGGAAGAAACTGAAGCCGAAGCCTAACTACAACAGTGTAGATCTCTCAGAAGTGGAATGGGAAGACCAGGATGAAATAGTGAGTATCAGAAAGTGTATTAAGCCTTATTGTAGCTCCTTCTCTCTATTATTTTGTGTGCCTATATGGAAATGGCAAGGGAGCAGCAGACACTGTTTTCTTCTGTGCCTGAGTGGTCCTAACTACGAGAGGCTGGTGGTCTACAAGAGGACAAGGATGATGCTCCCCTACACAGTGCTTGCCTTCCTTTCCAGTATGAATTTCCTTTCTTCATGGAACAGGGAGGAAAAGCACTGGCAGAAAGAAAGTAGCATTTTGGAGCATGCTCCAGGGATCCAGTCTGTGTATACAGGGCCCAAATGCTGTCTTAATACAAAGCCAAGATAGTTTAGGAGCATGGCAGCAAGCCAGGATGTTACCTGTACATGTAGTATTTGAGATACAGCTGAAGCCACTCAACTGAGACCTGCAACAAGGATGAAAGTACATTCAAAAAGAGAATAAAGCTTGCAGTCACAGTAATAGACAAAGAGGATAAGGGACTTAGATACTTGAGAAAATCAAATTTCCAGAAACCACTTTATTGCACAGGTGTGGAGGCACTGAAAGCAATAGCTGACCAGAGGGAGAAGATTAGAAAATACTTTTTCTTCTGTCTTTGGAGCTAAATTATTAAAAAATGGTAAACAAGAAACAGCAGGTATCTTAAAAGCTGCACATTGCTGTGTTGCACAACTAGGAACCTGGATATAATGAGAAGGTGGAGAGGTTCCTCTGTGGCTGGTATTCTTTTACTCAGAAGAATTAGAAGAGAATAGATACTTAAGTTACTAAGATAAGAACTGAATTTGGAGTAAGATAGAATTAGATGTGGAACACATGCTTCTGGATTACCAGGCAGACAGCCGAGGTAAATGGATCTGATGCTATAGATAACCACTTAAACAGGTAGGGCATATGAACTGCCCAGCAAGAGGATCAAAGTAGCTACTGCTGCTACTGCAGGCCAGGTACAAAGGACCACACCAAAGGAACTCTGGAATTGGAAAAGTGGCAAACTGAGCAAGGAAACACAGAGAGACTGCATGTGAAATATGGAAAGCAAGAAAAAAACTAGGAAGCTTTACATGCTGTGGAACCAAGATGCAAGTTGCCAATGGCTTTGTGTGGGGTTTGTTGATGTCTTCCAGGGGCTCTGCTCCCATTGTAGTTATCTGTCTCACGGGAGCCGCTTTCAGAACTGCCCATCTTTACCCAGTTTGCTATTAAAAAAAAATAAATAAATCCAGGAAATGAGGGATTTTTGCTTAGCTGTTGTATTTATATGACTAGCAGGTTCTGGTCTGATGAGATAATGTGGACATCTGAATGCAAGTATTATGCAAACTGCAAGATTTCTGTCCATACACAATCTAAAACTATCCAGTGGGGGGGGGGGGAAAGTCAAAAGGGGCATGCAAAACAAAGCCACTTTGTGTTCTCGTACTGCATCTTTCCAGAAGAAAGGCTGCAGTCACTGAGGGTACAGAGGCATTCAGTGACGTGAATAATATCTGCAGTGTGACTTCAGCAAGTCTAGAGACTCTCAAGATACACCAACTGCAGCAGAAAGCTGCCAACATTTCAGCACTCAGATTTGCAGCTATGGTATCAGATCAATGACAGACTCAACATCAGCTGCAGCATAATCTCAGCAACGCTGATAAGCAGCAAATTCAGACAGGAAAAATATGCCCAAGTGCTAATGATGTGTAATACAGCCAGCTCCTAGAAAGAAATCTAGGGGAGGGAAGATGGCACTGTCTGGAAAATACCAACTGATGCACAACGCTACTATCTGCAGCTAGGCAGCAAGGAAGTTTTGGGTTGCTTCTAAAGCAGCACAGGATATTCTCAGGGTGAGGGAAAAAGGGAAGGGTTGAGAGATCCTCCCCAGCAGTCTAGGAGCTGTCACCCAAACAGATTTTTCTTCAGCCTTGACAGAACAACTGAAGAAGAAATTAGTCTTTAAAGATGTTGAAACTGAGTGTCAAAGCAGCCAGATGTTGTGAGACCCCACGGGTAAACTCTATGTCTGTGTTGGTTTGAAACCACACAAGCAGACAGGGGAACACAGTCGGTACCACTTGTTGCCAGTGATGGAGGCAGCACAGACTCCTTGCCCTGGAGCAGAAGAGTTTGCCCTTCAGGGTGTTCAGAATGAGTGCTTCAGCACGCACCAGACCACTCCCCTGCCCAAACTCTGCTATGCACTTTTCAAAGTGGAGGCCAGGTGTTGCACGAAGTGCCCTACCTGAAAAGAACTGCGTATTATAGAGGATCCCAGACACCAGGCCTGTAATTGACTTCTCAGTGCAGGAAAAGCTACTGAGGCAGGAGCAGCAAGTCAGGATTTTGGCACCAACCTACAGCCACTGTCACATAGGGGCTGGGTGCTGTACAAGTAGGCTGCCTACAGACTAGCTAGAGCTGAGAAGATCTCAGATATCTATGAATTTACTTTTTCACTGCCTTATGGGGCAAGGAGAGATGCCTGGTATTCAAGAAGATATGGATGAAGCAGCAATATCTGAGCTAAACACAGAACCCATAGAAAATGCTGCAGGTTGCCAGACCAGAGCAGAGAGTATGCCATGGCTCTGGCAGGAGGTCAAACACTCTGAGCCAAAAAGGAGTAATTGTACCAGTCAGTATTTTGATTTCCAAGATGTGGGCCTTGGGAAACACAAGCTTTATATTCTAGGTCTGTAAATAACCCACATCAAACAGCCATAATAAACAGAACTGTGGCCCTGTAAAGCAAAGGCAGTTGAGACTGGCCTGCACCTGAATGGAGGCCTGTCTCTGGAAGCAAGGAAGCAATTTGTGTGAGTGAATAAGTTACTTCCCACCTTTTTTTCTATCCAAGCTGAAGCAACAGGCTGATACGCTCTGGCAGGCTGGACAAAAGTCAAAGCCTCTGCACTTGTGGAAAAATTCCTTGGCTCTTTCTTGCAAGACGCTGGGAGTCATTGTGAAAATGACATTTTGCTTTTGGAACTTGGACTGAATAAAATTATCTTCTTGCTGCCTACCCTGCTATCATACAGTCTTGCTTTGCTGTGTTAAACAGCTGCTTTGCTGCACCTCAGAAGTGGTGCTGAATATAGCCTAAAATTTATAAATCAGTTTTTCAAATGTTTTTTGATCTGAGGGAGTTAGTGGATTTCTCAGATGTCTCCTCTTCCAGGCTCCCAAAGCACCATGCTAATGACTTTCTAGCTGCCAAATGGTGAAGTCTGAAACTTGGATTGACAACTTCATAGCTTCCAGACCCTTTCCTTTGACTAAAAATATATATCAACAAGCTTTCAGCCTAAGCCATTATTATTGTGTCACTTATCAGCCTGACTGAACAAGGATTCTGACCGCTCAAAGCAAGTTTTCAGTTTAAAAGAGGCAAGAAAGAGCTGGGGGTGGTGGGTGGGAGTGGGAACCTACAGTCACTCTTTTCTACCAGCCCCTGTATGTTAATGACAAGCAGCTCTATTAATTCCTGCCCTGTCTAGAGACACTGATACTGATCTTGTTCACCTCTGCAGCTGAGAACTGCCATGATCAATGGGGAAACAGGCTACCTCTCTATGGATGTAAAGGTCCCTGTGGATAAAGGGGTAAGAAATCATTCTTCTGTTCAGGCCACATAAGAGGGGGGGACGGGAAATGGATGCTGCAGAACCATTAAGTATGTGGGTTTAATGCTCAGCATTTCTGAGCATGAGGATTTTATTGTTTCACCACATATATAACGCATGTGCTAAAGACATAAAGTAGAACATCGCTAGCTCTTACACAGGTACTGGAAATGCCTCATAGCTCCCTACTTTGTCCAGGCAAAGACAAAACCCATGTTGTCCACTGTTTATAGGGCTGTGAAAAGAATCAGAGACTTTCAAGAGTTTAGAATGGGGAAGGCTGTGCTGAGCTGACCTAGACAGAGAGAGGTTTGAAGACAGTTTTGCAACTCCCTTTTCCCTACCCAAAAACACTCATGAAAACTTTGTCCCTTACTCTGTCACAATGAGATTCCTTTTATCCAGGCCCAGGATTAAATTTCTATGCAAATATTTAAAGACGTTTTGTGAAAAGTTCTAGTGAAACTGAGACATTTGAATGTTCCTTACCAGCTCTAATGTGGGGTTATACATCTTCCCTTGGAACCAGTGCAAAATTGTCTTGTACATTTACGTTCACTGGTACTTTTTCATTCAGGTTTGTTTAACCCTCCTAAAGATTTTGGCTTTCACCATTTCCTGTTAGGAAGTATTCCAGAGTCCTGCAAGTTATACTGCCCAGAAGTCTTCCATATTTCAGGAAAATTTTCCATCTTTTTTAGAGAGCACTTTTTTCCCAGTGATCAGGGTGCCTGCACCACTCCCATGCTAAGCCACAGTCAGCACCAGTTCCAGCAGACCAGCTGCTCACAGCCCCTGATGAAATGGTGTCATTTCCTAATGAAGACACCCCTCTGTTTCCTCCGAATGGTTGTAATGCTAGATCTTGTAACTAAACTCTCCTTCTCTATGCTTGGTGTTTGCAACTACCAGGTGCCTGTCAATGGCTTTGCCCTTCTTCTTCTGGGCATTGCTAAGGTCTGCATTTGAAATACTTGCACACTTGTCAGTCCAAGCAAGTCAGCGATTATTTTTATTCCCTTTGTCTTTTGTACCATTTCTGGTAAACAAGTACCAAGGCTTCTGTGGGTTGAGTACTGTTTTGCTGTTGCTCTGTAGAGAGCATCTATTCTCTGCAACAGAATATTTCTAAACAGGGAATCCCAAATCTCCTTTTTGCTGTCCTTTCAATTCTTTCTCCCTCCCACAGCTGTGCCTGAACTGCTGCCTTGGTTTCCCTGTTTCTTAGCTATTTTTTTCAGTTGCCATTTTTCCACATGACTCCCACACCTCCTTCTTGTCCAGCCTTTCTAATTTTTAGGGCGGTAGGGACTTTTTCTCAGTATGCAGAGAAATGCTGTTTTATTTTGTCTTGCAGATCACTGCACACAAGGGCTCCTAAGATAGAGTCTGTCTGTTCCTCTCATTAGATCTTCTTCCCTTGATGCTCTGTTGTTTACTCTTTCTTTATGTTTACAGTACTGCAGCTGGTCCTCACTCCACATCTTATTTAAGCTCACTTTAACTGATTTTTTTTAGAATAGAATTTCATGAGAAGCTGTTTCAAGTGCTTTATATAAACCTAGATACTTTGCATGTCCTTTATTCCCTTCATCCATTATCTTTGTTATTCTGTCAGAAAAGCAATCAGTTTTCCAGTCAGATCCTTGTAAGTCTAGATTGCTTATTTCTCCATATTAACCTCTTTCTCTGTCTCTGTGCACCCTTAATAGCATCTGTTATGAGTCACCCAAAGATGGGACAACTTTCTGCTCCCCTACACAGGGAAAAAAGATAACAAAAAGTAGCCCTGGTAAGAGATACTGTCTGTTTCATTCTGCAACTACGCAAGCCTTAAGAAGCATAGCAGAAGACTAAAGCAGAGCATGTGACAGTTTTACTGTTTTCAGAATACACACGGAGTGGGGACCACAAGTGAAAACCATTCCCACTTGCACTCCTCTAGCTGATGAAGCAGAGCAGCAGTAGAAATAAAGAAAGTGCTGACAGTCTGCAGACAAAAACAGCGAGGCAGTCAGATGGCAGAGAGCAGGGCTGAGTGAAGGGGATAGAAATTATTCTGTCAGCCACATTGTGATTCCCCAGGTTGATCTCTGGAAGGTATTGAGAGCAGGGTGAGAGAGGGAAAAGCAAGGACCAAAGGCAAGGGGTGGTTGTTAGAGAGATCTACCTGGTGGCAAAAATGCCTTTGCTTGCAGCTAGGGTCATGACTGTAAAAGCAAAAGAGCAAAGACTTGGGTAGGAGCTATAGCAAAATATTAGCTTGGACAGGCTACCTAGTAGAGTGACAATACCAAAACTGGAAATACACGCACTCCCAGACCAAGGATGGTAGTAAGCCACTGTGCCAGCACACCCATGTTCTCGGCTTCTCCCTTGCTCTGCACTATGTAGCAAAAGTCCTGCGTGATCATTCTCACCCCTGCTCAGTTCAGGTGTGCCTCTGCTGCTCTTCCTTCCCATGGATAAGTGGTGATACTTCTAACTAACTGTCTTGGAGAGGGCCGAAAACCCATCCCCTCCCTCTGCCCAAACAGAGGTTTGTCCTCTCTTCCACCAGGCACAAGTGCTAAATGGCTGCATGTGCTGAAGAGGGACAGGTCAGAATGAGCAGAACAAGCCCTGCTGAAGCAAAGGGTCTCAGAGTGGCACCCTGGGCCATTTTCTGCTGCATCCTTTCCCCCAGAGGCAGAACTACATCCCCAGGTCTCCTCCTTCCCTATGCCTCCCCCACTTCACCATCAGATCAGACTGGCAAGGAAAGGGAGCCTTAATACCTATTGTACCTTCCCCACAGCCACCAAAGCACACTGTGCCATGTTCCTTGGGGGTATCACAGCACTTCTGGAACACTTCAGCTCAGCAAAAGACTTGGACCCTGTCGTTGAGCGGTACACAATTGCCATGCACGGAGAGAGAGGGGAGGGAAGGGGTTGACCCACCTGCCACCTCCTCACCTAACAAGAATCCCCATCAGCCCACGAAGCTCTATGTGCACAAACTGGGGGCACACTATGGAGCTGGTGCCAGCACACCCTTTGTGCATCGCTCCACTTCCACTGCTGCACAGCTTAAGCAGGCTAGAGCAGGCATGGCTTTCCCTGGGGAACACCGAGTTTTCTGTGCTCACTCCCTGTCTCCCACACACATCCTCTCACCTCATTTCAGACTAGGGCTGGGATTTTAAACATAAGGCATAAGGGTTGGATAGAAACTTTCCAAAAACTTTTCTCCTTTGGAAAAGAGTTCCACTGAAATCAACACTTTCCTACAGGAAAAGGCCAGTCTGGCAAACAGCTGAAGTTCTGAAGCAGCTTTCAATAATCTGAAATGTCTTAAGTTGAAATGTCAGTCTGAAAAAAAATATTTTCATGTGAATCAAAATGGTTTGGATTTGAATCAGCACTTTTTTTTTAATTTGAAAGGTAGATTTTTTTTTTTTACTGATGCTTTTTAAGAAAAGTGGAGTGTGTTAATATCTTGTCCCAGTTTAGCATGAAAGCAAATGTCAGGAATCTAGGCATTTCCCACAGGAGTGGGGAGACTTGGCCCCAGCTGCCCACCCGCACAGTGGGTAGGTTTGCCATTTTGCCTCTCCTCTGACTCCACACCTCCTTTCTACCTGTCCCACTGAGCCCCACCCCCTTCCTGCTTGGGATGATGATGTGCAAAGCCATCAAGGATGCTCTGTACAGCAAAAGAGCAGCAGGGCCCCAACGAGTTGGCTCAGAGGGTGTGAGAGAGAGGACAGCTTTCCCCCACCCCTTCCTGCAGACTGTGCAGGAGCCCTAGAGCAAAGAAAGGTTTAACTGAAGCCATAGATGGAAAGACAGAGTGGCTGACTGGATCCTGAAAGTCACAAGTTGCTGAATATGCTGAATACGGTGCAGTATTCATCCCTGCCTCCAGCCAGCCCTAGCAGGGTGTGAAAAGTTGGTAATGATCAACTGCTTTTGCTTAGGCTTGGGGATGTATATCCCAGCTCCCCATCACCACTGTGTTCTTCATCTGTCAGATGGTCTCTCACCTTCTTATTCTTGTTTTTATTCCAGAAACGAGTTCTCTTCCTCACCAATGATTATTTCTTCACGGACATCAGTGGCACACCCTTCAGGTGAGCAAGGACTCAAGTGACACCAACAAGTTGTATCAGAAATCTGCCATCAGGCACAGTAAATTGGTCCCTTTTCTTCATAAAATTAGCTACAACTCATGAGTAGAGTGGTGTGCATAATTGATTCCTTTGTTCCTATAGCCATTAAAATATTGTTTGGGGTCAACTCAAAGGAATATTATGATTTATCTGAAGTTGAGAGTCCAAATGCTATACCTTAGATGAAGCATGTTGTTTCAATATAGCTTATGTTCTGGTGTATGGCTCTAACCAAAGCACTGTTAGAAACCCAGAATTCTAAAACATCACATAAGAAATCAAGCAAAAATTTTTGTATGTGTTTTTCCCCCAACTGAAATGGTTTGAAATTAGCATAGATTTGAGAAATGTTATTGTTGACCTGAACCTACAAAGTTGGCAAAAAAAACCTGTCACCAAAAATGCCTCATAGCTCTATAGACAGGTTCCTTAGCCTCTTGTGCTGAAATCGGATCTCACTTAATCTTCTTTTGATTATGTTCTTTTCTTTAATAGCTGTGGAGGGAGTTAATGTCTTTAAAGATTGTAATTGCAGGGAATGCAGTGTCATGCTTAGGGATTACACCTCTCATTGCTGACAAGCCCTCTGTTTTCCTTCCTGCCTGCAGCCTGGGTGTTGTGCTGTCCAGGGGCCATGGGGAGTACATTCTGCTGGGGAACACTTCAGTGGAAGAAGGTAGGTTCATCTGAAACAGCCATGCTGTCCTCAGGGACAAGGTAGTGACTCTGAACTTCACTGCTTCACTTCTCCCTCACAGCCTTTATCTCCCCATCTGCTACCTACCTGAATACTCTACATATTATCTGGTTTCAGGTTTGCACGACCTGCTCCAGCCAGACTTGTCTTTAGCGAATGAATGGTAAGTGGAAGAAATATTGTCAAAGATACAGGGTTTTGTCATGAGATTTTGGCAAAGTTCCCAGCAATTTGGCTTGAGTTCGCCCCCCTCTGTGGCCTAGAGAAAAAGCAGTGTTGTTCAGGGGCTGTACCTGCTGCAAAAACCTGATTGTCTTCATGTAATTCTGTTCCACCTCTTCCTTTTTGGAGATCCTACCGAGGCCTGCCACATCCCTCTGCTAGGAAATATCTCCTGAAACTTATCCTCAGTCTTCTGTGTGCAGACTTATTCTGTTCCTCCTCACATTGCTCAGAATTGTGCTACAAAACCTACAGTATGTGAGACTTGTTAAGCTTGCAACAAAATTTCCTGACAAGAGATTGAAATGGTTTTTTGAATGCTAGTTTATTTTTGGTTGGCATTCTTCTGAACTGAGCCTAGACCTACTTTCTAGTGAACACAGAGGTGATTTATGACCCACGTTTCAATAGCAAGCATAACTTATGGTATTGCTTTGTTTGGATACGTAACAGAGTGAAGCATGGCACTTTCCATTTACTGCTGGGAGGTTTGGGATTTTCATGAACCCAACATTCAGTTACACTCAGGCACATGAACCCAGCCTGTATCAAAGCCAAAATAACTATATTCAAGAAACCCTGCAGCCTTTCACACCTCTCATTACACTGTCAAGTTTCACAGGCAGCATATTTGAGACACAAGCAGTGACTTCTCCTTCTTCTACTCCTAACTTGGGGTGTCAGCTTACCACACTTTACATATTCATTTCTCTCAGACTGCTCTCATAAATCACTCCTTTCAGCTCCTTTATGAGTTGTAATTCTCTTACAACCCCCTCCTCTCCATTGTCCTGACAATGAAGCAGTCCAAACAGGTAGCAAGATTAGAGGACTGGTTTATTTTATAATACAGTTGTAATACATTCCCCCACTTATCCACAAACCATCCTGAGGCTCCTGCAGCTGTGTCCCCTTGGGACAGCTTTTGTTGCCACTGTATCATACTGAAAGCTCATTCCTTATCTCGGTTTTTGTTTCTCTGTCTCTGTTTATCTTCTCCCAGTCCAGTTTTATTCACATTGCATGTGACCCTCTGCTTTTCAGGCTTCTCCACCACTTTGTTATTGTTATAGACAGAGGTAGGCATCATAAACCACATATAATACAGATAACTGCTGGAAGGATTTGGGACTGCTACGTTGCATTGTGAGCTTATGCCAGAGGACACAATAGCAGCCCTACTAAGCACAGAAGTCAGATTACTTGGTGTTTGGTTTATTGGTAGGGTTTGCCTCAGGGTCACGTTGTTAAATTTTGAGTGGGCACAGCAAGCAGTAGCAGCAAAATCTTTGCAGCCCAAGCTTTACCGCTGAAGTTTTGTTTGCAGTTATTATTTTCCAGAAGTATTTGCTTGACTGTGATTTCTCTTCACCCTTGTGGACTTCTTCCCTCCCCACCAGGATTTACTGCATCACTGACATTGATCCAGACCACCGCAAGCTCAACCAGCTGGAGGCTGTGATCCGTTTCCTCACTGGAGAGGAGCCTGACCTAGAATGTGAGTCCCAGGCACCAGAGGGCCCTGATGGGGTTTTCCTGTACCCATCACATGGGAAAGGGGACCGTGACAAACTGATTTGTGTCAGACTGAGCTCCTGTGGCACCTGTTCACAGAGGCAGGACTGAACACAAGCCCAGCTTAATTCACACACAGAAATGAGCTGAGGATCCACTTCCTTGTCTCCATCAGAGGGTTGGTTGTTTTGTTTTGTTTTGTTTTGTTTTGTTTTCCCATTTCAAGCCTGTCAAATATCACAGCTGATATAGCACCACTATGGGGTGGGATCTCTGTCCTGGGGCAGAAGTGGGCAGGTGTGCACAGGAACTCCCTACACCAATTTAGCTTTAGGATGTCCTTCAGCCCACCTTCCTCTCCACAGCTTCAGCCTCCTCAGTTGTACCAAGTTGTCAAGGGGTAGGGC